CTCCCACGAGCGGGCTGGCTTCAGTACCTCCTCCGGTTGAAACGCTGTCTGTGCCTCCTCCGCCTCCCACGAGCGGGCTGGCTTCAGTACCTCCTCCGGTTGAAACGCTGTCTGTGCCTCCTCCGGTCGAAACGCTGACTTTGCCTTCTCCTCCTCCTGTGGGAACACTGTCTGTGCCGCCACCTGTTGAGACGCTGACGACACCTCCTCCTCCTGTGGAACTGACGGCACCTCCTCCTCCTGTGGAACTGACTACGCCTCCTCCAATCAAAGAGCAGACGTTGCCTCCTCCTCCTCAAGTCACTCCTCCCCCAACTGGTACAGGTTGTCACGGCCCCGAGTGCCCCCCTCCTCCCACCACAGTGTCGTCGCTGCTGAAGCCGCCGACAAATCCGCCGGCTTTGCCTCCTCCCCCTGAAGCTGGTGCCAATTCGATGAGTTTACCGAAGTTCCTGGGAGCGCTTGCGATAGTTATCGGGCTTTTGCTTTGAGTAGTCCCCTGATAGCTTGGTTATAGCGATGGCGGAGACGCTTACAATCGCCGTATAGCGACGTGCCCCCATCAATCATCCACTGATTGAAGCCCTTTATTCGGTTTGGCTGTATAACCGGTGTACTTTCCCTTCCACCTCCAGTAATCTTTCTAATAAGTGTATTTTTAATGAATCGAAACGTAATTTTTAGCAACGAGCTCTTTGGCCTGATATGACGAAAACCTGACATAACGTTATGATATAGGCTGTCTCTAGCTGAGCCTCAAGCGTATTACACCGTTGAATACAATCAAGTTGGAATCGATATGCACGACTCGATGGTCCGGAAAACCCCTTGAGCTAGCCGAGATGTTGAAGCCAACAATCGGACGCCCACCAGCATTGCATTGCGTGGTGATATCTCTCAGTCGACAAATGGGTGGGTGCAGCCGCGCTATCGCCCAACATTTGACGGCGTGCTGCTGAGTAATGATTGAGGGATCGACTCAGATCAATTGGACAACAATTGATAAAAATTATCAGTAGATCAATGAAGCATAGTATTAAAAATTTATTGATTGAGTAGAAAACTTCAATTCTGAAGGATTGCCTCGAATGAGTGAGTGCTGCTAATTTTGGATCGGGTGATAACCACAGCTCAATTGATGCAGCGGTTACACTCGGAATTAAGAAAAAGTACATTGTTGAGCATAATTACCGTAGTAGTTTTGCCACTATATTCCTACTGACTTGTTGGATCTGCTGTTTGCCTGCTTTTTGGTTTCCCCCCTTAGCGCTAAACTCCGGCGGTCGCACATAAATAGAGCCCTCTCACCACTCATAGCGCAAAATCAAGAACCCCCACCCCATGTCTGAATCTACCGCCCTCGACCCCAAAGTGTGGCCCGAACAGCCTCCCACCGTGCCCAAGCTCGTCCCCGTGTTCGTGATAAACTTGAGAATTGCCAATGACCCCCAGGCGGTGTTCCACGACCAGCAAGTGGACAAGGCGCTCACGTTGGCACGGGTGGTCAACGGCGAGATCAAGACGGTCAAAGACAACGGCATTGGTGAGCTCGACGCCTCCGACATCACCGGTTTTGATGACTTGGCGCTTAAGTTGCTGGCCAACACCGCCAGGTTGGACTGTAAGTTGTACGGCAAGGTCGCCGACGGCAGTGGTGTCTACATCACTTACCCCGGGGTCGTGCAAATGAGAAAAGTCACCACCGACGTGTTTGAGCGGAAGGCCACCACTTCGAGCTTCGACGACGGCTACGTCACTTGCAACCCGCTGTTTGCCTTTGACGGGGCTGTTGCCGACAAGTACAAGTGGGTGCTTAAGGAGAACTTCATTGCCAAGGGGCGGTTTGTGCGCGACGCCAGCGACGGGTTGTACGTCCAGTACTACGTCTACGCCTTGCGTTAATAGGCTTCAAAAACTCAATAAATATCTACCCATCGTAAAATACACCACGTTGTAATATACATGGCGTCGGTATCGGCCCCGTGTCGCAGCCCGATCGGTAATAACGGTGAGGGGATATGCGCCGAATTCAGGTCACGTGCACGGCCCCCAACCCGTCGAGGTCCGAGCTACGCAAATCGCTCGCGAACTCCACTGCGTGGGAACACCCAACCACCAGGTTTTTCTGTTACCTCCGTCCCGCCGTGCCCCCGTAATTCCTCCGCACTAAAATGCCTCCGAGACTACCCGACTGGTTCCCCGTGATTGAGCACGACCCCTTCCTCAAGTACCGCCCGTTCCCGGCGACCACCGACAACAATTTTGTCCGGCACTGGCACGAGGTGGCAGGGCTGTTTTTGATTTACACCGCCGTCCAGATGGTGCTGCCGTACGTGCTGCTGTGGGTGTTTGGCGACAACTACCGCAAGTTGCTGAAGAAGACGCGGCTCAACTTCGACATCCACGTGGTGCTGATGGTCCAGTGTATCCTTCTGGTGGTGGCGCTCCTCCCCACCTGGAACCACCCCAACTGGCAGAACCGGGCCAACGACCCCGTCACCTCGCTCTTGGGTTTCAACGACTATTACGGGTTGGTGTCGGCAATCACCACCGGCTATTTCTTGTGGGATCTTATGGTGTGTTTGGTCCACTTTAAGATCTTCGGCTTTGGCTTTTTGTTCCACGCGTTCGCGGCATTGTGGGTGTTCGGGGCGTCGTTTTACCCGTTCAACGCCCCCTGGATCCCGGCGTTCTTGTTGTTTGAGTTGAGCACACCTTTTGTCAACATCAATTGGTTTGCCACGCGCCTCCCCGCCGGCGCCATCCCCGAGTGGGTGGTGGTGGTCAACGGCCTCCTCCTTCTCTTCACGTTTTTCCTGGTGCGGATCGTGTGGGGGTTCTACTCGGTGGCGTTGCTCGCCTACGACATGTGGCAGATGAAACACCTTGTGCCGTGGTACTTGCCCGTGATGAACTTGGGGCTCAACTTGTGTCTCGACGGGCTCAACGTGTTCTGGTTCAGCAAGATGCTTGCCATTGCCTACAAGAAGTTGCTGGGGCTGCCGCTGAAGCTGAAGCAAGCTTGAGGACCCCATAGTTATCGTCTGGGGTCTCCCCCGATAGCAGCATGTAATCACCATATAATCTAGACATTCTTTTTTCTCCTCGCCCCTTTTCCTGCAGGCAGCGCCACCGAGTGCGACCCGCGTCACGGGAAAAACTGAATCGTGAGACCAACTCACCCTTTAGCTTGCCCCAAGGTATTGTGTCCACTAGCCTCTGCCACGTTTGACCGCCAGCACATTTGAACCATGCAGAACAGCGAGTTTGACTACTTGTTCAAGCTATTGTTGATTGGCGACTCCGGGGTGGGGAAGTCGGCGTTGTTGCTCAGATTCTCCGACGACACCTACACCCCCGACTACATCTCGACCATCGGCGTCGATTTCAAGATCAGAACGATCGAGTTGGACGGCAAGACGATCAAGTTGCAGATCTGGGACACCGCCGGCCAGGAGCGCTTCCGCACCATCACGTCGTCGTACTACCGTGGCGCCCACGGCATCATCATTGTCTACGACGTCACCGACCAGGAATCGTTCAACAACGTCAAGCAGTGGTTGCAGGAGATCGACCGCTACGCTACCGGTGGGGTGATGAAGTTGTTGGTCGGCAACAAGGCCGACTTGACTGACAAAAAGATCGTCGAGTACACCGCCGCCAAGGAGTTCGCCGACGCGTTGGACATCCCCTTTTTGGAAACGCTGGCGTTGTCGTCGACCAACGTCGAGCAGGCGTTCTTCACCATGGCTCGCCAGATCAAGGCGCAGATGTCGAAGAACTCGCAGCTGGGCACCGCCGCCAAGCCCCTGGTCAACTTGAACCTGAAGCCGGTGGCTAAGCAACAGGCCAACGGGTGCTGTTAAGGGATACATCGTATAATAACTTAGCCGGATGTAGTATTAAATGAGACGTACGCCAATAATGATCTTGTATTTGATTTAGCTCGATGATGGGTGTCCACGTGCGCTTACCATCATCTGAAATGTGGTGGTTATCTAAGTATGAATCAACACCAAATCAATCCAATTACCATTAAAATACTGAAACAATATCCAAAACATCAGATTACCATCCAGATCAACTTCATTAGACCTCAAATTAGCTAATTCATCACGGTTATTTTCAGGTGCACGTGAGGGTGGCCGCTGATATAAACTGTCCGGTCTCGCTCCGAAAAATTTCACCTCTCTACCATGCCCTTTGAATTAGTCTGTTTGGGGAACCCCCTCCTTGATTTGCAAGTCGACGTCGACCAGGCGTACTTGGACAAGTACCAGTTGAAGGCCGACGACGCCATCCTCGTCGAAGAGAAGCACATGCCCATCTACGACGAAGTGTTGGCCAAGCCCGACTTGGTGCTCGTCGCCGGCGGTGCCGCCCAAAACACCGCCCGTGGCGCTCAGTACATCTTGCCCCAAGACTCTGTTGTTTACTTCGGCTCTGTTGGTAACGACAAGTACGCTGAGTTGTTGAGAGAAGCTAACCAAAAGTACGGCTTGCGCACCGAGTACCAAGTGCAACAGGACATTGGTACCGGTAAGTGTGCTGCTTTGATCACTGGCACCCACCGGTCGTTGGCCACTGACTTGGGGGCTGCTAACCACTTCAAGCCCGAACACTTGAAGAAGCCCGAAAACTGGAAGCTCGTCGAAGGCGCCACCCACTTCTACATCGGTGGGTTCCACTTGACGGTGTCGCCCGACGCCATCGAGTTGTTGGGTAAGCACGCCGCCGAAAACAACAAGCCGTTCACCCTCAACTTCTCGGCTCCGTTCATCCCTCAATTCTTCAAGGCGGCGTTGGACCAAGTGTTGCCCTACGTCGACTACGTCATCGCCAACGAATCGGAAGCCGCTTCGTTCGCTGAGCTGTACAAGTTGGGCACTACTGACGTCGAGGCCATCGCCAAGGAAGTGGCTAAGTTGCCCAAGGTGTCGAAGGCTCCCAGAACCGTCGTGTTCACCCAAGGTACCGAACCCACCATCACCGTCACCTACAAGGACGGCGAGTTTGAAGTGAACAAGTACCCCGTGAGACCTTTGGCTGCCGACCAGATCGTCGACACCAACGGTGCCGGTGACGCCTTCGCTGCTGGTTTCGTCGCCTCGTTGGTGCAAGGCAAGCCTGTGGCTGACGCTGTCGACGTCGGGCAATGGGCTGCGTCGCTTTCAATTCAAGAGGTCGGTCCCTCGTTCCCCTTCCCCAAGCAAACTTACCCGGGGAAGCAGTAGAGGAACCGCTAGTTTTGCTTTTTAATTCAACTTAGGGACTAGGGTTTATAGATAATTTCAACAATTTGAACAAGTGATGTAGGCGGCTACGAATTATGTGACTTACCTTCCATTTGTGGTCACCAATGGCATTACCACTAAATTTCTTGAACCTTCCAAAATAGGTCACCAATGCCACTGCCACCATTAAACTATATAGTGATGACAATCATCTAACTTTTAGGTCATCAATAAGCCCCTCAATCATGAACTTCAACACTTTTGTTGTCGCTACCATTGCCACTTTGGCTGCTGCCGTCCCCGTCACTGAACCTTCTGATGTCGGCAAGTTTGAGAAGAGATGGAGCTGGATTGACTGGAGAATGTTCGAACCCATCGACTAAACGTTTGGGACGTACCATACTGAAGTATTTCAATTTTTAGAGACACTACTTATATACGATAATGCAAATTTAAATTTTGATTACAAGTGGTTGTAGTCGTTAGAGGCCCGGGTGAATTATCAAAAACCTAGCACCAAAGAGTGGCTCGAAATATCGAAACTTGATGGGTAAACGACCTTTTCCCGCTTTTGATTCCAGCACTACTTTACTGATTTCAATTCAACTTTTGAGGCAAGTCCAACGATAAGGTGCGGTAAACCCGATTACTGGAATTTACCATAATTTCGGAATTACTTGGACCAGGCTCAAAGTCGAGCTACTATAGCTCACAGTTGTTCTCGCAAAATCCAATAGGACGGATTTCAACTTGTTCTTCTATTACTTTCCATAATCTATTAGTTTACTAACGCTATCAACGAAGAACCGAGGCAAATGGAGTAGGCATTGGGAAGAATGAAAATATCAATAAATTGACACAAAATCTATGATTCCAGCCATCATCCTGTTTCAATTCAGTCTCCTATTTCTTCAATTTCGTCTTGCTTACCCCACACGTTACCAGGCTCATCTCACCAACGTCATCTCATCGCACGCGACAATGGCGGTACTGCGAGACCACTACTTCCGCCTCGGGCTGGACCTTCCTGACGAGCAGATCGCCGCGGCGGCCGCCCTCATTGGCGAGCTCAAGGCAGCCGACGACGCCGCCGAGTGGGACTACGCTCATCGCCGGCTCATCAAAGGGCTCACCACCTCCAAACAAAGCGCCCGCTACGGGTTCCTGGTGGCGCTCACCGAGGTGTTGCTGGGTCAGCTGATGACCACCGACGAGTTCTTGGACCAGTTGGATGCCGCCACTGAGGTCAAACTGCTGATGAAAGGTAAGGAGCAGCGGCTGGTGCTCTTTGGCCGGTTGTTTGGTCTTCAGGCGCTTTTGAACAGTAAGCGTCTTTACCAGGACTACAAGCAAGCTGAAGTGGACCGGTGGCTTAACACGTTGGTTAAGTTGGCTCTGGAACGGCTGTGGCTTCGGGAAACAGCGATGTTCACCTTAGTCCAATTCGTTAAAGCGGTGATGACGGCTGATGACGTCAGCGACAAAGCCAAACAGGAATTAGCTACTGCAGTGCTCGAATTGGTTAAAAAGCTCGGTCTTGCCATGCTGTGTGAAGGCGTGGCCGTGTACTTGGCAATTCCTCAAAAAATGATTAAAGTGGAACTGGGGTGGAAACACGGGTTCCCCTTCGCTCAGGGCAATTTGCCTAAGCTTGCCAAGGCTCTTAAGGATACTGAAGTGGCCGAAGATGATGAGGAAACTCGTCGCAAGCTGCAGAAGCTGACGTGGTCGCCACAACTTCCGTTTGTGTGGGATATGGTGTTGGCGCACTTTAACCAAGTGCAACTGCTGCCATCGAAGAAAGCCAAGCACGATACGATTGGGTTTAAGGAGTTATGGCAAGTGGTCGTTGAAGAGGGACTTTTCAACGAGAAACTGTCGCATGAACGTAAATACTGGGGATTTGAGATCTTGGCTAAATTTGTTGTGGGGCTTAATCGGGCTGAAGATGTGGCCCACTTGTTCACACCTAACGTCATGCAAACTATGATCAATCTGTCTACCCAGAAGAAGCGTTACCTTCACAACATTGCCGTCAAGGCGATCGAAGCTCTACAACAGGCTGCTTCTGCTAACTGTGGTAAAGGCCCCGTCATCCTTGATAAGTTGCTTAAACGGGCGTGGAATTTTGACAACCTCACCAAGACTAAGACCATTGATAAGCTTTTAGTAGTCAACAACAGTGGTAGTGAGTTTGAGCAACAACTGGCACTTAACGAACTTGTGGACATTTTCAAGGCGAGACTGCAACTGGACCACGAGCCTGAAGCCAAATGGGGGTTGGACCGATTGGTGCAAGTGGTGAGATCTAACCGCTCGGTGATCGTGCTGCTTGGTGCTACTGGTGATGCGGTGATGGAACTGGTGTTAGGGTTCTTGGTAAGACTCTCATTATTTCCTCTGGAGGCGTCTGCGGGGGTCGTCAAATACGCGCAAGACAAGCTCAACTCGGTGCTTGCCGAGGTGGTGTTCAACCCGAGAGCCGACAAACAGCTGTGGCTGTTGTGGTGTATCAACGAGATCGTGGCATTGGAAAAGAAACAGCCGTTGGCCGTCGAATTTGACGACGAGCTCAAGGCGTGCAAAAACGATGCCTTGCAATACTTGGGGATCGTGCTGGAATTACAGGATAAGCTGCCGGCAGAATTCAGACCGCAGCTCTACTGCTTCGAGCTCATGTTCTCGATGGTATTGCTCCAACTTTACCTCTGCGATGAGGAAGCCTTGCAAGTGTTGGGTGAGTTGAGGATGTGTTTCGAACAAACGTTCTTGGCGGAACTCGATAACGGCGAATTCGATACGCTGGTGGTGTTGACGGAGATCTTGTTGCTGTTGTCGGTGCGCAAGAGTTCATTGACGAGACGGTTGGTGCTGACGGTGTGGGGTCTGTTTATGTGTACGCGTAACGATCAGGGTGATCTCCACGTCACTCCCAAAGCCCTCGACTTATTGTATGAAGTGTTGGTGACTAAGGAGAACAAGCAAGGGCAATTGAACTTGTTTGAAGGCGAAGGCGAGTATGGACCTGAAAATGAGGGCGATGATGATGACGACGACGAAGACGACTCGCAAAAGGAAGACGACGACAGTCTGCTGGACTCTGACTCTGACTCTGACTCTGATGATGAAGATGATGATGATGATGAAGCAGAGAAGAAGGCTAACCCCTCGAAGAAGGCGGAAGACGACGATGATGAAGACGATGACTCCGACACTGACTCGTCTGATAGCAACGATAATGCCAATACTAAGGATCAGCTCGATGAGGAAACCCGTAAAAAGCTTGCTGAAGCCCTTGGGGTAGACAATGAGGTTAAGTTCGAAGACATGTCTTCGGACGACGACTTGAGTGAGCTGCTGATGGACGACGACGAGATGATGGAGATGGACGGTGAGCTCTCGCGTATCTTCAAAGAACGTCGGGATGCGTTGGAGGCGATTGAGTCGGGCAACAAGCAGAAGAAGGAAGCCGAGGATGCTAAGGAGCAAATGGTATTCTTCAAGAACCGGGTATTGGACCTTTTGGAAGTGTTCAACAAGGCCGAGCCCAACCACCCTTACAATTTGACGATGATCCCGTCGCTTTTGGACCTTATCCGCATGACCACTGATAAAAACTTGGGGGTTAAAGCTCACAAATTGCTTAAGACAAAGGTGTCTAAGACTAAGGTGCCGGCCAAAGAAGTCCAGGAAGGTGATGCCGACAATTTCATGGAGATGCTTAAATTGGTCCAGGATAAAGCTCTGCAGTCTAAGTGCAGTCAGCTGTACTCCTTAGCCTGTGGTCAAGCGTGCATTGTCCTTGCCAAAAACATTGTGCTGATGGATGCCACGAAATTGGACGATGTCATTGACGTCTACACCCAATCGTTAAAGACGTGGGCTGCTCCTGGTCTGAAGTCTAAGATCCAGCCGTCGCTTTTCTTTGACTTCATCAATTGGCTCCAGCTGAAACGTCAATCCCACTAATCTGTATATTACTTTATTTTATTAAAAGAACGAGTTTAAGATGGCTAGATGTGCCAGAACTTCCACCAACGAGGGTAGTCGTCGTGAGACGGACTAACTCGAATCAACCCTTTCATTAAGGGACCCTGAGGTCCGTCCACGTACCGCCAAAGCTTTGGTCCGTAGCGTCGCTGGCGTCGGTCCCACCGAGGGAGGCGGCGGTTTCCCCACCTTCCAGAAAATGTGAGCCAGCTGCCATAGGCTGATTCTCGTTCGGAAACACCATAGAAGGCTTCCCCGTCAAACGTATAGGCTAAATAGTTGGCTGCAGGGTCCCAGAGAGTTCCTTTGTCGGTTATATCGACAAGCGAGCCTGTAGGGTCGCGTTGTTGAGTTCCAGCACTGGCATAGTTGGCGTGGGTGCCAACAGCACTGTACACCACTGCTCGAGAATCCTGGTGTTGTAAATCGTGGTAGAGCCACCACAGTCCTGATTCATGACATGAAAGCCACGTAACTCGGGGTCGGCCATCGTAAAACCGCACCATAGTATATTCCCAATCACCCAAATGGTTACCGATAGGACCTTTGGAAAGGACTTTAGGACCTAGATTAAATGGGTAAAAGTAGAACCAGAAGGCGTCGATCCAGCCATTTCCTTTATCGACGACAATGAGCGTAGCGGGAGCTTCGCAGTACCCTTCCTTTTCAGGTTTATTACCATAAATCCATGAGGACTCGGTCCATTCTTCGGTGGCTACCATAGTGAATTCATCGCCGTGGTATTTCCCCAAATCAGCGATGTTTCCATTAAATTTCGTCGACTTATCATTTTTGTCAAAAATGTCAAAATGTTGACAATATTCACAAACATCACCGGGGAAATACTTCTCCTCGGAGTGAAGCCACACTAAAGGAGCGTATTTCACCACGTAATCAGGAATAGAGCCATTACTGATAGTAGTTTGTTGTGGTTGAGGTCGAGCAGTGATAGGTGGGAGGATATTGGCGGCGTCAACACCAGAAGCATCGGCAGCCACCAGGTGTACTGCCAACGCCAATAAGATAATGAGCATTTAAACAAATTGGTAGAGATGATTGATGAGTTATTATCACCACGGACGCTCCAGATTACAGATCACCCCTCATATTCTCTACTCACTTCCCGATTAACTTTCATTGTGAGTGTAGCCGGGTCGGTGGTTCGATTCCTGGACGTGAGCCCGAGCGATGTCGCAATCTAAAGGCCCCCCTGAACCCATACTACAACACGGCAAATAACGATAAATGGCTCTTGCTGGCGAGGACCAAAGTGATTACGTGGCGGAGACGACGTCGAGTGTCTCAGAAACCACGCCATTGATTGCCCCCGCCGCCCCGAAAGGGTGGTGGATGGGGGAAGAGTGGCTGTGGACCCGCGGCTGGCGACGCCACTCCCGGGCCCAGCGCCACACCCGAGTGGTGCTTTTGCTGGTGCTTGCGGCCATCGTGTTGTCGGGGTTTGCGTTGACGGTATTTATCGGTCTCAATCTCCACTCGTTCGTCGATGAGCTGGTTATAGTTACCGTCCATAAAGTGGACATTGTCGGGCTCCACACCAACGGGTTTGACGTGGTGGTTCGAGCAAACTCAACGGTGGATTACTCGCGAGTAAACAGTACCGTGGTGCTGTGGGCGTTGCTGTTGGGAGCGGGGATTATGGGGTACGTTACCGCTATGCCTGTGGACGGAGTCGATTTATGGGCTAAACCGACAGTGGCTGAAGTGGAGTCGCTTGCGTTGGGTACGTTTTATCCTGAAACGGCGATGACGGTGAATATCACTAATCACCGAGCCTCCCAATTGGATGTAAAGGGGCTTGTTCGCTTAGATGTGGCTAACCTTGTTCGGTTCCTTCAATACGTTAATGATGTCCCTGATGCGGTAGTGGAAGTGGATGGCCGAGCAGTAATGGATGCCCAAGTGAAAGTAGGGAGATTTCTACCACCAGTGGTGGTTAAGGGCGTGGAATTCTCGAAACACGTGTGGCTTGAAAAGACGACCCTCTCTCAGTATACGGTGAAGGAGACGGATAACGGACTTGAATATTATGGAGAGATGAACCTAGGGAATTCGTCAATCTCCGTAAATGTCCCAGAGACTGATGTTTACGCCTGGGGGTGTGATGACTACCATGACCTAAATGCTACCATGGCCATGTCTACCATTAAAGATAACACTTTAAGAGTGTCGGGAGTGCTTGGCAAGATACCTGACAAATTCCTCAAGAGTTGTGGTCACGATTTATCCCCTATCAATCGATGGGCTCAGATAATAATGGCGCAGCCGTGGCCGCTTCCTCAGGTGCTAGGGGTTTCTATCAATGCCCTTGACGTCATAATCGATTCCAGCGGGCCTGGAATCACCAGCCACCACAACTCACTGGTGCTGATTTACCTTGCAAGCCCTCACCACGTGCGCATCCCTCTGTGGCGAGTGACGTCGTTTGTGAGTAACGTGACGGCGTGGAATGACGATAATGCCATTATCCACGGTACTACCAAGGGACTGGAGGTGCTCAACACCTATTATAGTCCGTTTCTGGTGGAGATTGATTGGCACAGCACGAACCATAAGAGCGAGGTCACTAACGCTAAAAGTGCGGGGAAATGGGCCAACGCTTGGCTCCACCATGATCATAAACCTTTAGAGCTCGCTGTTGACTTGAAACTGGTGGATATCGAACTGTCCGTGCTTTCCACTAGGCTCTATGACCTACAGCTTAAAGTTCCCGCTACTATTCCCCCCGTGGTTCCGTCGTTAAAACCTAATGTGCTGATCGATTCAGTGGTGTGTCTTGAACTGAAACAGAACCGAGTCAAGTTTACTGTGACCGGTACTGTAATCTGTGAGGGCCTAGTGACGGTGGATGCCAGTTCGGAGTCGGTGACGGTGGCGTTAGCTTCAAATAATGAGACGTGGGGTTATGCCACCGTACCACAATTAGTGGTTCCCGGAAGAGGCAATCAGGCTCCGTTTAGCGTGGATGTCACGTTAAATGCCTCGACACCAGAATCGTTCGCTCAGTTGGCGGCAGTGATGTCTCAGCTTATTCTGGGGGATACCGATGTTGCCGTGGATATCGTCAAAATGACGAGTAACCCTAACCCCGAGCTTCTGACGCTCTTAGGAGAGATGACCATCCCTAAAGTACCTGTCCCCGAGCTCCATTTCGTCACTGGTTGGCAGGGGGAGCCGGCGCTGCCGTTTATCCTCGAGCTGACGGTACATATTGTCCAGAAGAAGTTTACCGTTACAGCGTTTAACCCCGTGGTCAACTTACCGCTTACGGTAGTGGTGTTACGAGGAACAGCGCTGTACCACGGGGTTATATTAGGCCACATGGAGCCCTACCGAGTGCTAGCGGTGACTCCCGGAGTATGGCGGCTGGCACCGTTACCTATCGTCATTGAGGACGTGGGGATGGATATATTGAGACGAGTGCTAAATGGGGATTTGGCAGTGGACATAGACGCTGAGATCGAAGTGACGATGGGGTCGTTTACTGTCCCGATCCACTACCAGGCCCAGGGGATCCAACTGAACATTAGATGGTAGTGCTTGAGTGTTGATGACGTCATCGCACTCGGCGAGAAAAAAAACTCACTAGTTCCAGACCATGGCCTGAGGTCGCTGGCTCTCCGCAGCTTCCGCATCGGGACATCCCAGCAATGCCGTCGAGATGGAAGGTGGAGAATTGACCAACGCCACCAAAACTCTCTGGAAAATTTTGGGTGGTATTCTGAAACACCCGATCTCGGGTAATCGAAACACGCTCGGGTGAATTTACCGTTGTCTTCGCTACCAACCGCTTGGTGGTCAGTTGCTACCCCCTCAACAGTGTTTACCTTTGCTGCGCGCCGGGCTGCGTAACCGGAAAACTCAGTGCGCTGCGCCCACGTCGCACTCTCGGCCCACCGTCATTTCACCAGGCTAAAAAAAAACATTTGCCTTCCTCACCACTTTCTCCTATCTCTGTTGTCATGGCTGGCTTGCTCAAGATCTCTGTGTTGACTGCGTTGGCAGCCTCGATCACCTCGGTGGTCGCCACCCCGCCCGCCTGCCTCCTCGCCTGTGTCGCCCAGGTGCAAAAGCAGCTGGACTGCCTGGGGCTCAACGACCTCAAGTGCATCTGTTCGCTGGAACAGCTGGCGATCAAGCTGTGCCTCGACAAGCAGTGCCCCAACGGCGACGCTGACGCCGCCAAGAAACAGTTGGGCTCGACCTGCAACGGCATCGACGAGTCGTCGTCGTCGTCGTCGTCGTCGCTGGCGTCGGAATCGGCCTCTGAGCTGACCTCTGAGTCGTCGTCGGCCTCGGCCTCGCAACTGGCCTCGGCCGAACATTCGGCTTCCGCTGAACCTACTGAATCGTCGTCGGCTGAACCCACTTCCGCCTCGACTCAAGGCTCCGCTCAAGGCTCGGCTGAACCCACCTCGGCCTCTACTGAAGCCTCGCAAGAAGGCCAACAAGGCGGTGTCGTCACTGAAACCATCCCCTGCGAAAAGTGCCACGAATCGTCGCACGAAGCCGCCCCCACCACCCAAGAATCGCAGCTGGCCGTCCCCACCACTCAGCAAACCCAACACGCTGAACCATCGTCGGAACAATCCGTCGCCGCCGTTCCCACCGTGTCCATCGAAGGTGGTGCCGCCAAGGTCGGCGCCGCAGGTGCCGCCATGGTCATTGCCGGGCTCGCTTTGTTGTAAACGGGATAGCCACTCTCATACCCTCCATGCTCCTAGTTTTGAAGTATTAAAAAAATAATAAGCATGGCTTTTCCTACATGGTTGTCCAAAAGGTAATAAAATTTTTAAAAGTGTATACGAAACGGTGATCTGACAACTACAACCATAGTAGATAACATCCTTGGAAAAAATCCCCATATTACTATATTTAGTATTCGGCTCATTGCGGAAAATTGAGGTCACGTGGACTAGATTGGCGAGAAACTGGGGTCTAGCCCTTCTACTAGCTATGACAAAATCATCAGAAAATACTCAAAATTCTGAAAACAGACTCAGACACGAAACGACAGGGTTATGGATCTATTGTCCACTAGCAACTGCTGAATCACCATATCTTTTACGACACCAAACTTTGGCTTACCCTTTCGGTTCGCACTATTCGGTGATTAAGTTACTGGAGTAGTTATGCAATCAAGAGTCACTTAAAACTCCATAAACTGAAATGACAAAGTAACCAAATAAGTGTAAAGTCTTCAAAGAATCACCTAATCTCTTTAAACCAGTTTCCATCAAAGTGTGCGATTGTATTTTCATGGCTTCGTCTTCCTCACTATGCGCACTGAAAATTTTTTGCCAGGTCGAAAGTGCCCGTCTACAATGATACCGTAGTTTTCGTTCTATCCAATTACAGTACACTATTAACACCCCTCTGCTTATTGCGAGGCAGCTCTCAACGAGGCGGCTCTCTTCTTCTTGATCTCGGCCTTTTGGTCGTTTCTTTCTTGCAATCTCTTGGCCAACAAAGCGGCGTATTCGTTGGCGGCGTCTCTTTGGCGTTGAGCGTTCTTGATCTTCTTGGCCTTCAAGGTTCTCTTTCTTTGCAAAGTTTGAGGGGTGATCAATCTTTGGATCTTGGGAGCCTTGGTGTAGGTGCGGCCGTTCTTGCCGGTGACTTCACGTCTGACGACGAATTGTCTCACGTCATCTTCCTTGGTCAAACCGAAGAACTTTCTGATGTTGTTGGCTCTCTTGGGGCCCAATCTCTTGGGGACGGTGGTGTCGGTCAAACCTTCGATGTCGGCGTCACCTTGCTTGACGATGGCCAACGAGAGGACAGCCAAGTCTTGGCCGACGATGCAACCTCTGACGGACTTTCTCTTTCTTTCACCAGTTCTTCTGGGTCTGTAGCACGAGTGGCCCTTCAGCAACAAGAGCTTGACTCTGGTGGGGTGCAAAACACCTTGCTTCATGGGGAAACCTTGCTTGTCGTTACCACCGGTGATCTTGAAGATGTACCCCTTGAATTCGTCGGAGACGGCGTCACCTTCGACTTCTTGGCCCATGCGCTTTTCGTAGAACACTCTCAACTTGTGTTCATCGTCGATTTCGATGCACTTTTGCGTCCCGTTCAGGGGGTAGGAGATGTTCAATTTCATGGTTGATCAACTAAAAACACTGAGGGATGGTGGCCGACACTGAAAATTTTGATGAGAGCGCGGCCACCGTGGGACTGCACTGATGCGCACCAAATGGTCACGTGGACTAGGGTTGCAATCATGAAGTGCGACATCTTGAGACGAATGCGACAACTAAGTAGTTGCGACTGGTCATCGCGGAAGCATCCGATGGCAAATAGCCTACCGCCACAAACCAAGCCTAATGTCAAGTCATTTATGTGAATCATGGGACTCAGTTAAAACATTTCATCACTCTTAGTAGTTCCATTTAATTTCTGTATGGCAATTATAGCCACCTTATCCTCTCAACGCCACCGCAGGTCATCGCACCCATTGCAATCTCCAAGACAAGGTTACCCTTCCACCGCTACATTCCATACAATTGCTAGAATGCCAACATGAGTCACCCCCATCAGAGGCGGAGTGTAGTCACCCCACAAGCACGCGTACAGATGATGTGCATTTAGCGATAAATATAGAAACCAAGAAATAAACCAAGCCGTGCCCATAAATAAAACCCAAAAAATCTAACTCAAGCCCTCATTTGTCTTTGTCGTTGGTGAAGTTGTTGAAGTGTAAGGGCGAGGGGAAGTTATCTCGCAGCTGCACCGCCTGGACCGTCCGGCCAAAATTGGCGATAGTCGCCTGGTTGGGGAACGCCAGTGGTGGTGCTGGTTGCGACGCCAGTCCTGGAGTGCCCAGAGAGCCTCCTGGCTGCAGCGGCGGTGGATTAAACGCTCCTCCTGGTGCCTGCTGGTTTAGTGGAGTCATCCCCGTCGATAGCTGCCAGTCGTGTGGCGGGTAAAACGTCAGTGGCAGCGGGAACATCTCCCCCTGGGCGTATCTAAGCTCTATCGGTGTCTGCTGGTCGCCTGGGTACAACACTCTATTGTACTGAGCCGGAATTGCCAGTGCAAACGCCTGATTGACTAAAGGTGTCGGTAGTATTGTCAGCGGCAGCTGCTGCGGCATTCCTGCGACCACTACGGGCTGGTAGTAAGTGCTGGGTAGCGGGTTGGGCGCCGTGACGTCCAGGGGCAGCAGCAGCTGCGACTTGGCGTGGATGGGGAGGAGTACCGGCGGTTTGCGCAGGTCCGGCAGCCGCAACAGAGTGTAGTTGGGGTACTTGGCCACTGGCGGCGCCAACGACATCTTGGCCTGCTTATCGGGCTCGGTTTGCGAGCGCAATTGCCCCGGGAGGTTCGCCAGCTGCGCGGTGACGGTTTTCGCTGAGTCGGACCCCGGTTTCAGCGGCGTGGTGTCGGTGGGGATCTGTACCCTAAGCACAGGCCGCTGGGGAGGGCTAGGTGTGGTTTTAGCAGCGGTAGCGTTGGTAGCCGCAAGCGCTGGCCCCTCGCTGTCTTTAGTCCGAAAGGGGAACACCGGCTGGTCCAGCGCGTGCAATTTGACGTCGTCTTCAAGCTTTAGCCGTTTCAGCTCCCGCGGCAGCGATGGAGCCAGGTCGTCGTCGCTCAGGTCGTCGCCGGCGTCGTGTGGGGGCTCGGCGTCCGTATTAGCGCTTGCCAGGCGTTTCTTGGCGTAGTATCCGTAGTTTTCCGGTCGTTTCCGCTCGTGGATGTTCCCCTGTTTCTGCTGGTACGTCTGGATGATCTCGTTGGTGTCCACCGACGAAAACTCGTACACCTTGCCGTTGGCGCCGACGATAATCACGGCGAGATCCACTTGACAGAGCACCGCGAGCTCGTGGGCTTTTTTGAAGAGGCCCGCCTTCCGTTTGACAAAGGTGACGGTGCGATTGCGGTCGTCAGTAAGCGGCTCGATGGCGATCTTTCTTCTGCCCATGGCGCTGGAATGTGGTGGTGGAGGTGCGATCGGTGGAAAAAAGCAGTGACCTATTTTTAGAAGGGGGAGGCCCCATGACGTCGACGGTGGGGGCGCCAGGCACTACAGATTGACGGCTACTGCGATCACGACAAGGGGTGGGGATGTAGCACTGGCTGGTTTACGAAGGGCTGTGGCGCCTGGTGCTTGTAGCCCCTAGTATCCTAATTTACATACATTGATAGGGGGTGGTCGGGGGTGCTCGGTAATGGCGAGAGGCAGGCGCAGCAGTAGTAGTGCGGCGACCGAGATGAGGGGGAGACCGTCGACAGATGACCGTTGGCGGGAATGTTAGTGGCATGATGACAAAGAAACAATGGCACCAGTATGCGTGGAATTTGGGGATTTGTGGGGAAGGTCATCTCGAGGAATTAAGCCGATGGTGGTGGCAAATTTAGGACGTGATCAGGGGTACTCTACCACTAGCGATCAAGGGGTCAATAAATCATCTAGACCCTATAGAAGCAACCTAAACTTAAATTCAATTAATAGGGTCTATACTAGTTTTTCGTTGATCAATTGGCTACACTCTTTCGTCCATTTTGTCCATTATATTCGGGGGTTTGGGCCAACGGGACTGGTAATGGTGAGTCGTCACTAAGGGGCTAAGCGATGCGTCGCCGGCGATTGTTTGTGGGCTTCGCTTACATGTGCGAAAGTGTGAGTTTTCTTGACATGCCCCGCTACCCAAGTTCGATTCCCACTAGTACCATTTTCGTACGATCTCTAGTTACCGCGCGACGTGTCTAAAAAAACCTCGACCCACGCCTCACCCACTCGACACCATGGCCAAAGGGAAAAAACGCACCCAGCGGGCGTTTTTGCACCAGTCCACGGGGCCAAACCCATCGGATACGTCACCGGGACCGGCGGCACCTCCTCCGGTTCCGATAGCGGCGCCGCCGGTGGCGCCAGCGCCGCCCATGGCCGACAACGACGACGACGACCCCTGGGCTTTGGACGATCTAGACGACGATTTGCTTGCCGAAGACATCCAGGCGCTTGCTAATGAACCAGTGGCGCAAGCAGCAGCGGCATTGGCGCCAGAGGCGGCGGCTGCCTCTTCTCAAGTGCCGCCAATTGTCGACACAGAGACTAACGTCAATGATCCAGAGCCATCCACGCTGGAAAATGCTGAAATAGTTACGCTGACGGTTGAAGCTACCTCTGAGGAGGGTAAGGGAACCGATGTGGCGTTGGCAGCAGCGGTGGGGGCGCCAGTAAGTGAGCCTCACGTCGTCACTCCGCCGACTAAGACCACTGAGCTGGCTACTTTGACTGAACCAACTACTAAGTCAGCTGAAACCACCGAACTGAAACAATTGCAAGCTGACAACCAGGATAAGTCTGTTGCAGCTGAGACTACACAGTCATTGGCGGAAACGCCATTGACGACCAATGACACCTCAGAACCCATCCCCGAAGCGATTCAAGAAGCTTTGACTGAGACTCTACCCAACACCGACGACACCAATGCGTCAGCACCTCATGAATCCGAGTCTCTGCCATGGGATGATGTCGTTGAAGATATGCCTTGGGACGAACCGACACACCAAGAACCCACCCAACAGCATCAGGAAACCACTCTGCAAGTACCGGAACCTACTCTGCAATTACAGTGGGACCTGTCGATTCAAGAGACCAGTCTGCTGTTGCCTTGGGAGGAGCAAAACCAGGCCACCACTCAATTGCTGGAAAAGGAAGAACCTCAATTGGTAACTCAACTGACAACTACTGAATCCCAGCCTCGGGTGGCGGAAGCTACCCCTCAAGCACTGTCATTACCCTGGGATGAGGAACCCTCTACTAAAGATGCTGAGTCTCTGCCGTGGGATGATCACGTGGCTGACACTGCCGAAGCAATGCCCTGGGATCTGACACCAGCTGCTACAGCTGAGACCAAGGCGACAGAACAATCACAACCTCAGGAACCGGTTACAGTCGACAACAAGCCGGCGACTACCACTACTGACGACTTACCCTGGGATCAAGAAGCATCGAGTGAACCGTTACCTTGGGAAGAGAAAACCGAGGCGAAGGGGACTGTCACTGAAGCTAAACCTCAAGAAACTTTAATTTATGAGGAAGTCAAGCCTCAGGAGACTGTAACTCAGGAGGAAGCTAAGCCTGAGACTGTAACCCAAGAGGAAGCTAAGCCTGAGACTGTAACCCAAGAGGAAGCTAAGCCGAGCGTCACTCAGGAAGACACTAAGCCTCAAGAGACGACCCAGGAGATTGTTCAGCCTCAAGAGACGACTCAGGAGATTGTTCAGCCTCAAGCGACGACCCAGGAGATTGCTCAGCCTGAGGCTAAGGTGGAGGAAAGCATTACTACAGACACTCAGGCACCCGCGTCTGACTTACCTTGGGATGAAGCTGACACTAAGGAAGCGGCTACGGGGTCGATGCCGTGGGATCAATTGCAAGAGCCGTCACAGGCAGAAGCATTACCATGGGAAGAGAACGAAACTGCCGAGAAGGCTAAGGAAGAAGCATTGCCTTGGGATGAACCCAAGTCTACTGAACAGGCGAAAGAGGTTGAGACTTTACCTTGGGATGAACCTAAGACTGCCGAGCCAAAGGAAGAGGAAGCGATGCCGTGGGAAACGTCGCAACCTGAACAAGCCACTACCGCCGAACCAGTCACTAGCAACGAGCCTGCGACCACTGCAGCCGAACCAGCCGCTAGTGCTATTGAAGAGTCACTGCCGTGGGACCAACAAGCGCTGGAGTCGATGCCGTGGGACGATCAGCCCGCTCATACCAACGACGAACCCACAAACAATGAGTCCGTGGCCGCCAGCGAACCGGTGTTGCTGACGGCTGCGGCATCGCTGGCGTTGAGCGAGGTGTCGCTGACGAAAGGGAAAAAGCTGTTGGACGAATTATTGGGTGACGACGACTTGTTATTGGACGATGACTTACTCGACGATGACTTCTTGGACGATGATGCTGTTGCGGCTCCAGCAGCTGTGGCTCCAGTAGCCGCGGCGGCCGTTGCGGCGGCTGGGGTATCGGCAGCGTCTAAGTACGCAGCGCCGGCGACGCCAGCAGCGCCTTCGGCGGGGTCGAAATACGCTGCCAACCCATATGCTCCCGCTCCTGCGGCGCCGGTAGCGACAGCTCCAGCAGTGAATCCTCAAGCGCCTGGTGCGGCGCCACAAGCGGCTGGTGGTAGAAAGGGCTACGACTCTACTAAAGGGTACGATTTCCCCGATGACGTCATTCAAACTACTATTAAGCCGGCGGCGAGAAGATCGGCTAACAAGTACGCCAAACAACTGCTGACGCCGGCGACTGCCGCTCCTCCTCAGGCGCTCCCTGCTGGTGGTGTCGCGCCTCCTGGTGTTGCTCCTTCCGGTGTTAACGCTCCGGGTGCGCCCTCAGCGCCTCATGCGCCGACAGCGCCTACTGCTGCGCCTGCTACTGCTAAAGGACCTCAGCTGGGCTTCTTTGAAGACCTCCCCATTGAATTACCGAAGACAAAGCCTCGCGCTGCTCGGGTACCTAAATCGGCCCTGACCACCGCTACGGTAGCCCCAACGCCGCAAGCGCAGTCGCCGGCGGTGCCTCAACAGCCGACGGTGGCGCCGCCACTGGCACCCCCTGTCAACCCATACGCGCCGAAGCTGTCGCTGACATCGGGCCAAAAGCGCCTGGCCTACGCGCCTCCCACTGGACCTACCGCCGGACCGGCCGTGCCTCCCACGGGTGTTGCCGTTCCTCCTTCTGGTATGGTGCCTCCTCCAGGTATGGTGCCGCCTCCTGGCATGGCGCCGCTTATGGCTAACCAGCCTGGTTTCGCTCAGCCAGGCGTACAACCGGGGATGCCTCAACCAGGGGTACAACCTGGTTTCCCTCAACAGCAGGGCTATCCTCAACCTGGTATGGCGCCGCCTATGCCGATGGCGCCGGGTCAAGCGCCAGCCCAAGTGCCGCCTATGACGTCGCCGACGGCGATGGCAGTGCCGATGGCTGGTCCCACCGTGCCTCGCGCTAGCGCTCCCTCAGGAGTCAAATCGCCTCGGGCTCCCGCTATCACCACTGCTCTCCCTAAAGCACAGGGTCCGCCTTCAGCTACGGCGCAATATAATCCTCGCGCCGGTCCTTATGCGCCCACTCACACGCGTACTCATTCTCGAGGCGCTTCGTTAGTGGGGCTCAACGGTAAGGATATCAACCCGTATGCACCCATCGACCAGGCGCCACCGCAAGCGATCCGGCCTCGAGGCATTCTGGGCGCCGCCGCCAAAGTGGGGCAGCTGCCGTTGGCGCCGGTGGCGAAGATACAGAATCCCGAACAGCTTTTGCGCCGCCAATTCCCGTTGTTTTCGTGGCTGGCGGGTAAGCTGGTGGCAGTGGTGATGCCGCTGGCTTACGGTAAAGCCACAGTACGGGTAGTGGAGGCGCTGCTGGTGGTTAAGGATGCGCTGACGTTGGCGCTGTTCCCTGGTGTATCCAAGGGTATGTCCAAGACTAAGCGGAAGGAGGTGGAGCTGTGGCTTGAACTGGCTCCCCCTCTAAGCGCTGACGACGACGTGTTAAAACGGATTCTTTTGGCCCGTCTTAGAAGTGAAGACGACGACGCTACGATGGCGATTTGCGCTGCGCTCGCGCCCCACGTCAACTATAACGAACAATTCATGACGGCGCCGGCGCTGATCGGGGCGCTGGCGACCAAATTGGACACCCAGGGAGTGGCGCACGTGTTCCTGTTGCTTCAAGCAGGGCAGGCGCTCAAGGCGGTCGAGTATTGTCTTGATCGCCAAGACTACGCCCTCGCGATGATGATGGCGCCAGTGGCGGGCGCCGACGCCAGCGCTACCGTGGTCAGCGCCTATACTGCGGCAAGCTGGGCGCCAGCGAAGCTGACGAACAAAGTGGTGCACACGATGCCGCTTTTGCTTAAAGTGTTTGCTGGCGACGTTGCCGGCGCCTTGCGCGACTTGCTGGCGCTGGCGCTGCTGACGGAGTTTGCCCTTACCCACTGGCGTGACACCGTCGCCCTGGTGGTGGTGCTGAAGGCGCCGGCGGCGCCGCAATTCCTCGCGGAGTACGCTAAGTTTTTGGGCTCTCACGGGTTGGCCACCGCCGCTACGGTGGTGTACGTGGTGGCGCTGGTTCCCCTCAATCCTCAAGGGTTCGCCGTGGTGCACGCTGGGCAGCGCACTCCTATTTACACCGAGATCTACGAGGTGGTGACGGCAGCGCAACCTGGGGTGCCGCCTCCCGTACACTTATTGCCGATGAAGGTGGCGCACGCGGCGCTGCTTGCTGACGTCGGCGCGGCGCTGGCGGCGCAGAAGATTGTCGACTCGATTACCGCTCAAATAAAGCACATGCCCAGAGGGCTGGTGCCGTTACCTGTCCAAGTGGGGCTCCAGCGTGTGTGCCAGCGCCTTGAGGACCAGGGCGCTGACGCTCATGGTTGGTTCAGCGGTAAAGGGTCTAAGCTCAACTTGGATAAAGTGTGGGGCTCCTTGGATAAGTTCATCGGCGGCGAAGAAGATAAGCCACTGGCGCCGAAGGAACAAGGTCCCTTTGCTCGTTTCAGCCCGCTGGTGCTGCGCCAGCTGCTGACGCTCGATGTGACGTCGGCGGGGATGTCTAGCGGCGGTTTCAACCCTATGGACCATCGCGGCAACAGCATGCCCGTCTTACCAGTACAAGCGCTTGCGCCCGCCGGTGCTCCCCCTGCGCCCGCTGCCGCTGCCGCTCCGCCTACGGGTAAGTACGCCCCTGGCTACTCTGCTTCGGCCTCGTTAGCGGCGCCTTCTAAGGCAAAGCGTTTATACACTCATCTGGGCCTGCTGACGCTGCTGTTGGCCGACACCCACCTTGCGATGACGGCGCGCGAACCTCTGGGGCTAGCGCCGGTGCCGCAAGCTCATGCATTGCCAGTGTCGCCAGTACCGCCCCATGCGGCCCCCGTCCACTTACATTCGGCGCCTCAAGTCCCGCAACACGTGTCGCAAGCGCCTGCGGTAGCGCCATCGCCGTCACCGGCACCGCTGCTGCTGTCGGCACTGGCGCCCCTGGCGCCTCCCGCGCCCTATGTCCCTACTCATAAGCGGCAAACCCTGGGCGTTTCTGAAGTCAGTGTGCCTAGTCCCTTAGGTCAAGCGCCGCCGGTAACGCTGGCGCCCCTGAGTCCTGTGACTAAGCGCCCAGACACTGTTGCTTCTGAGGAGCGAGTGCCAGCGCCAGTGGTGTCAGCGCCTTCTGTCGCTCCTCCTGCCGCTGATCCTCCTGCTGCCGCTGCTCCTGCTAGTGAGCCTGCAACTGCGCCTCCCGTGGCGCCTCCTGTGCTGGCACCTACCGAAGAGTCTACTGAAGCTGAATCCACTGATGACACTCCCGCTGCTCCTCCTACTGCTCCTCCTACGGCGCCGGCGCCACCACCTAAAGCGCAACTGAGCCAAGGTGATCTCCCTGATGACTTTGGCGCTATCCCCATGCGCCGCCCCGCGCGCGCTAAGGCGCTGAGAGGTAAGCGTCTGGACCGTTACGCTAGTGGTGGGGCTAAAAGCGTCAGCACTCCTAGTGTTACGCCTAGCGTCGCCACTGGCAGCGGCACTCCCAGTGTCTCGGCCGAGCCGGCGCCGGCAGCGCCGCAGCCGCCAGCGCAACCGCCAGCTTTATCGCTGGTACCGAGCGCCCCTGTTGCCGTGGCGCCGCCGATTTCTGTGGCGCCTCCTCAACCAGACGTTGAAGGTGACGACGATAAGGAGGATGAATCGGCGCTTGCGGACATAAGCATCGATTCGGCCGGCGAGATCCCTAAGCCAATGGCGCCGATGACGCCATTGGCGCCGCCAGCACAATTGGGCACTGGCGCTGCCCCTCACCATGAACCGTTGGCGCGGTCGCTTCAAAGAAAGGCGCTGCGACAACTGTACACTCCGCGCACCGGCGGCGTCGGCGGCGGTGATGATCTCGATAACCCGTTGGACTCGTTCCCCATTCCTGGCTCTCCAGAATTTACGTCACGTGCTAACTCGGTGATTGGCGGCCCTTCGGGTTTCTTCCTGCTGAAGCTTAGTCAGCTGAACCACCCGATGTACCATCAGTACGACGTTCAGGACGATACCGTCAGAGATTATGTGCCCGTGAACGAGGATGACGACGATGATCATAAGGCGGCGGCGCGTAGAAAGCGCCAGCAAAAAGAAGAAGAGGAGAAGCAGCGTCAACAACGAATTGCTGAAGATAAAAAGCGCCAAAAGGAAGAACAGCAGCGCCGCAAACAGGCTGAAGGCCCCGGTTTCATCTCCAAGTTATTCGGTGGCAATAAAGTGCAAATGACCGAAGACGGCAAGAAGATTTATAAGGCGCACTTGGGTGGTAACCAGATGTTCTGGCTGGAGGAACATAAACGGTGGTTGGATAAATCGCGTCCGATTGAGGAGCAGTTAGCTGAGGCGAAACCCCCTCCTCCTCCCATGGGTAAAAAGAAGGCCGCGGGTGCTGGTGCTCCTACTGGATCAGCAGTGCCTCCAGCTACTGGTGCTCCCCCTAGTGCTCCTCCTTCTCTGGCGGCACCCCCAGCAGCGGCAGCTCCACCTGCTAGTGCTCCACCTGCCAGCACCCCTCCCGCTGGCAGTTCGGCGCCTCCTACTGGTAGTGCTCCTCCTACTGGAGCGGCTCCCCCTCCTCAACGGTCAGCTGCCGCCGCTGCCGCTGCTGCCGATAACCTTGACGAGCTTCTTGACCTTGGTCCCAAGCCAGCGGCGCGCCCTAAGCGCACCCGCGCCAAGCGCCAGTTCATCAGCGTTATGGACAACCCCCAATAACCAAACTAGAAAAAAGCATGTACCATAGATACTACAAGTAAACAAGCATTTGATTGAATTTACGTTTCCAGAATAGTCAAGAGAAAGGAAGCTTCTACCGGCGCGTTAGCCATGCAAGCGAATGGGCCGGCTTCGATGCAGGGATGTCACCTGCATCGTTGTCACGGCGATCGCCCAGCCCCAAACCGTTTGATTATGTAAGCCGACGTCGTTTACTTTCTGTTAGGTGTTGAAATATGGGCGTAACCTCCGCGACTGATACCTCGAATAACCCCTTTGTTTTCGTATACGCTCACCAGCTGTCCTCTCCGCTAATTTCGGTGGCAAAAGTGCGCGCGCCATTTTACCTTGTCACAAGCCCCCC